AAAACAATATTACCCGTTTCAAGAATGCTGTCACCGAGTAAAAGAGTCAAACTAGGTAAGTGTTACACACACACACACGCACACACACACGCACACACACACACACACACCCACGCGCACACTCAAGTCAAACGTCAACAAATCCGAAAACTGCTTGATAGCGAAAAGTAGGAAACAAAAAGAGATATAGTTCTCAGTAACAAGTATATATCGTCAAACAATAGCAATTTAACGAAGCACAGCGATAGAGACAAAAAAAAGTGTGCGAGCTTCCTAAAAATAGATTTCCACACGCGTCACTACAGAGAATCTCTCAGCAGCGGCGGTTCGCGCAGTCATCATACGAGTAAATCTGTTGAGTATAGAGAAGGCTGTACAACCATGACTCAACGAGAGAAAAAGAGAGAACGGCTATATGTATATTTATTGCATTTAGATTTATATACGAGGTTTTCGATCTCTCTCTCTCTCTCTCTCTCTCTCTCTCTCTCTCTCTCTCTCTCTCTCTCTCTCTCTCTCTCTCTCTCTCTCTCTCTCTCTCTGTCTCGCGGCAAATTTCTCTTTTTTTTTACCTCTACATTTGCATTGCTGCGTTGGGTGCAAGCGGTATTTCTTTTTAGACACGTGACGTACATTATCGTGAATCGGGAACGGCTCGCCGAAAAAAAAGTATGTTACGAACTTGGCAATTTCCGCTTTAATTTTTTTATCGATTCGCCCTATCGCGCATAGTTTTACATGGAACGATGGAAAGATAACGCGCGTTCCGTGAAATTAACGGAGAAAAATTAATCCAACTGACTGGCCGCAAAGAATGCGTACTTTTTTTTGCTTTATTTTCTTCTACGTGGAATTGGATATGCCGGGAAAAACGGCTCATTTTCTCATGTTATTAAATTCAAACGCAGAATTAATGAGAAAACTTTATGCACAATGACTTCGATCGTTTGAAGCTCAAACTTCTGACCCAACAACAAAGGGGAAAGAGGATAAACTTGATATCACTGCGAGGGTAATTAATTCCTCGTGAGACACAAACGCAGTAGCAGCAGCCGCAAGAACGTAAGGTTATACCCGGACGCACTGATTATGTGTGCACTGTGCGCGCGCGCGGGATGAGAGATTACAACTTACACCTACGCTGCACGTTGAAAGAAATAATGGGATGCTTGCGATAGAAGCTCATCTGCCAGGTAAGAAAGTAATTTTCATTTATTTTTTTTTTTTTTGTCGTCAACGACTTTGTTGCCGACAACGCAGAATTGTGAGTTCAATTATGATTATTATTATTGTAGCTTGAATACAAATCACAATGTGCTCTAAAATAATTGAACAGGGGAGACAAATTTTTTATAATTGTATCCCGTTGTTCAATCCCGCAAATAGTTCGATTTCACGGAACGTAATTTAGCTATAATCCTTGGAAAGATTAATTAATCATTGTAAAAAAAAAAACTCTATAGCGCTCGAATATAATTAACGAGATTCCACGAAAGTTATTTCAAAAATATATCCGCATATCCGCCTGTCGCGCGCAATTTCAGCGAAAACTATACGCGCGCGCACGTATACCACCTGCCAATTTTATAAGGAGAAAAATCTACCCATCCGTCTTTTTTAATAAAATACGTATAGCAGCCCGGTGGTAGGGTATGGTTTCGTGTGCACCAAACAGGGAATAGATAAAAATTGATGATTCTTATGTATTTGTAGCTAATGAATCAATTGGTACCTGTACCTTTTGCGAAAGCACTATGCGTTTTGTTCAAAAACACAATTGTCTCAACAAGAAGAGAAAAACAATTGTTTTATCACGGAACAATTTTTTTATTAGCATTTTGTTGTTTTATCAACGTGGCTGACTTTGGGACACAAAGGATTCTAGTAACTTAACTAAAATGCACGGTTCAAAAGTTATTAATGTTTAATTTTCATGTTCCTAACTTTTTAACTATTTACCCCTTCGTTTTAATGGAAAGGCCTCTATTTACCCAAAGTTTACTCTATCGACGGAACGCTTAACCCCCGCTATGCTTTTATCGTACCTTCGACTGAGCTCATACGCGTTACGAGATAGGATAAAACATATTATATTAAAAATTTTTTTCAATTATATTAAAAGTTTTTTCATCACTTTCGCAAAGTTTTACAATCAATTATTCATTATTTTATTAAAAATTTACAAAATAATTCAAAATAATTAAGTAAATTATTTGAACGTCGATCAAGTTGAACTAGATTCACTTTTATTTGAATATGAAAGAAAAGATGGCATTTTAGTATCAACCCCCAAAAAAAACAATACTATTACCGTCTATATAGATGAATTTGTCGTAAGGTACCTCTGTACGACTTTAGTGTTTCCCTGTTTAGAAGCTAACGTAAAATGCTGTTCTTTTTGTGCTTGTCAAAAAATAATACTTGCAAAAATAAATACAACAGTGGTAAAGAATATATGATAAATCATTTGTTATCAGTGAAAGTTATTACCAATACTGTTTCAATTTATATCATACACTCGATGAATGTGCTCGCGCGTTCATAATATATGGTAAGCGTAGCGGTTAAGCAGAAAAGCGGTAACTGTAAAACGCCAAAAAAAGGGTTTCCGTTGGATAATTGAATGTTCCATCAATGTAATATATAAAGTATACATTAAAAAAATAGGGAGGCTTCATGATAGTATATCGTTAATAGTTAAAAAGTTATTAACATGCAAAGTTCATGAAAAAACGACAAATTTTTGACTTGTAAAGATAAGTAACTTTTGAACCGTGCATTTTAGAGTAGTTACTAAAACCCTTTTTATCTTGAAATCAGCTATATTATCTAAAAATACTTATCTCTACAAAAAAAAACCAAATTTATTCAAACAAATTGCGTTTTAAACAAAACGCATAAAGTGAGCGGTACCAATAGATGTAACATCTCAAAATACATACATAATAATCATGTATTTTTGTCTAGTCCTTGTTTCGTGCATACGAAACCAAACCTTGACTCCGTTGTTCTAGCAAGAGTAGAAAAAAAAGTCACGATCGTTTTGCTTCTATGGGAATCATGAATAAAGTCCTGATTTCTGCAGAAAGGTAATTTGATATTTAAAAAAAAAGTTGCTACTGCACATCATCACACATACAGACACATGTTTCGCCGCTGACTCATAGAGAGTTAAATGCCGTCGGATTCTGCACGCGCGTGTACACCTTGTAAAGCGCCGCTCAATTAGAGCCTTGTAATATAAACAATTATTTCGGACGAGAGAATCTTAATGTACTTTGGTTTTATGAGCCGTGTATTTAATAATACACTGTTTTCTAATCACTTGAAAATGTAATTTTCAAGTGATTAGAACACCAACCGGACATAGGTCGTCAATAAAGAAACACATTAGAGCCAAAAAATCGATAATCCTGTGCACTCTCCTCTACAGATTAGATAACCTGACCGGCAGAAATTCTCAATAAATATCACCGCTAAATAGCCCCGTCAGTTAATTAAGTCTCTCGATGGCTTGAAGACAGGGTTGCGTATACGTGTGTGTGTTATTTTAATTATCCGCCATCATTAAACGTTACGCACACTTGAAGCACAATTACGGTGGCATTTTTATTTGAAAGTACAATGTATTCCTTTCCTAAATACCTTTGAGAGAGCAAGCAACTTTAATTGCAGGAATTTCGTACTAAGAATTCTTTGGAAAAATGTCCTTTACGTAATGACGCGCAACTCGCATTCCGCCGCTTCCTATTCTAGAGAATCGTTCTACGATTTTATATATAGTTATTACACCTATATGTATTATGTATTATTATCGCTCTACAATGCGATGTTATAGATATGATGGAATTTGGAAGTACCTTGACGTTTGTTGCGATATCAGAACGTTTTCTGCTTAAATTAAGGTGTATAGTCATAAGGTGTATAGGCTGATTCAGTTTTCGGTGAAAATAAAATCGTGATGAGTATATGCCAATATCACACAGCTGGACACGTCAATGAAAATATATTCGTCGATAAATCGATATTCTTCAATTAAACCCGTGCTTGAAGGTTAAATTGATAAAAAGTTTGCATTTCTGTTATTATTGTTAACGCTAAACGAAAAGTTGAAACCGTCAACAAAACAGATATATTTTTAATAAAAAAGCCACGTACTAAGCGGTAAACACGACTCATCATTTGTACTAGGAATCAACATCAACACTTATCAATTGACACAGCGCGGTTATCAAAATAAATGCATTGCTACACGACAAATAGCAAACAATTCATACATTCCGCTAAATTGCTGATACTTCCGTTTTCACTTTGAAGAAAGCTTACTGCAATTAGTAAGCTTCATATTTCGCTTGCTCGCCCGCGCGGCTGTTTACAAAGTTTCGGAGTTAATGCAAATACACAGCTTTTTGCGAGCTGTATCAGTCATGAAGCTTTCGACGAAAGTCTTCGCGGTACAAACTTGCACGCAAGTGATATTTCAGCAGCCAAGTGATCAACATTTCACACCTACAATAGATCGCATCACGCGCTAAATTTTGCGGAGTCGCATTTCACTCATGTTTTCTTTTTCCGTTAAAACGAAAACATTTGCTAGAGGAAATAATCGCGCCTCATTTGAAAAACCGCCACGCGAGTCTTTATGCAGGTGTGCTCCGAAATGTACATATTACAATACTCGGAAGGGCACAAAAAAGGAGAGCGGCCTCTTCGCGGAAATCGTCAAAGCGGCGCGTGAAAACGCCGGGTCGCACCTTTCGCCCTCTTATCAATTCAACATCGATGTTCAAACGTTTCTCTCTCTCTCTCTCTCTCTCTTGTTCCACGTGAGGGAATTTCTTTTATTCTTTTTCTTCCCCTTCAGAACATGAGATGATCCGTTGCATAATTAAGCACATTTTTATGGAGAGACAGTTGTTAGGTTGTAGATTAAAACACACACGTGCGAGCGATATATACATAATAATATTTCACTGCACACAGAAACACAATAGACTCACCATTCGATGCTGCGATAACCGCGAAGACAGCAATGAATCGCCTTGAAAGCTCCGACATTTGCGTACTCTGTGTCGATCACTTCCTTGGTAAACCTTAGTCCACCGGGTAGATTCTCAAACCGATGCATCGAGCAATAATCATGTAACTCGTTATCGTCATCTCCACGGCACAACGTCGTCGCGAGCAATAACACCAGTACACACCACCTCGACATTGCTTATCCCTTATATTTTTTTCCTTCCTCGAGAAATCAAAATATCGTGCACACAGCAAGAATGCGCGCGCAATAGCAAACGAACAGCGCCGTCGAGCTTTTGTCACATTTTCTTTCGAAACTACACGTGTGTGTGTGCGTGTAAGAGGGTTAAAACGCGCGATATCTGTGCGGAAAACGCGCAAATGCAGTGCACAAAAGCACACGTGTACTACAAAGATACGCTCGCTTCGCTCGGGAGGCCACCGGCACACTGACTAAGGTCTGGTCTGAGCGCCGGCCCCGGGACAGGCAACTTTTCAAAGCGGCCGCCTGTTGCCAACACGATGGCGCTGGTCGAGCTGCCGCCACCACCACTGCCGCCGTACGGCATGGCTTCCGCGAATTTCCAGCTGAGCGCGACTACGTGCCAAAGAAGGGGGAGAGAGAGAGGGAGAGAGAACGAGAGAGATGTTGGTTTTGCTGAGACGCGCGAGAGGTGCACATTGCATACTCGGCACGCTTTGGTTTTTTGTGAATGAGAGATTTCATTGACTTGTGTGCAGGTATTGTTCGCACACGCAGCCGGATTGAACTGTTGATGCCACGATGCTATGCGATATCTCTGGACAAAACGGACTAACTGTATAACTCATTGTGAAATTTGAATTCGTTATTTTACATATTTTCCGGGGTAAATAACGAAAATTACGGTAAAATTCGAAGAAAATACGGTATTTTGCTATTAGTTCTTTAAAGTTAATATTTATCTGAATGAAAAAAAATATAAACTGACCATCATTTTTTCAATTAAAGCTTAGTCCTAGGTTATCGCTGGAAAAATATACCTCAGGGTTCCTATAAATTATTCCGCTTAACGTAGTGCAATAATTTCATGGGAACGTTGGCTCAGTCACTTGGTTTTGTTCTGCTATACTTGTCATACTTTACGTAAAAATCCGCAAAATTCAATTGTCGTCTCTTTATTACGGCCCTTGCAGTACAGTAGTAGCCAATAAAAAGTAAAAGAACCTTGTATGGGAAAGTAATTTTGCTGCCAAATAAACCCATTGCGTAGATTTAGACGTAGTCTTTTCCACATTCGGAGCACATTTCGAAATTGTTGCATAATCCCCTAGTGCGAAAGAAGGACTAGATATAATAATTGTTGCATCACACTACAATCATAATGCTGCGTAATAATGTTTGCCGGGGTTTTCATTGATTCAAAGTCATTATCGACATTTCACCGGAATTGTGGAGATGTCCTTTTCTCCCTTCTTGCGCTTACGCTTATAAATCAGTAATTACGCAAAGCGTCCTACAATCCCCTTAACCCCTTACGTACCGTACATATCTCACTTGCGACAAATTTTTTTTTCTTATTTTTAGAGAGAGAAGGAGAGAGGAGAGAGAGAACGAGGATATTAGCGAAATGAGTTAGCTATTTAGAGTTCTTATCACGCAGCCGCGTAGTGTTTGCCATAAAACTTAATTAGTTTAAACGCGCGCAAAAATGACTGCGCTTACATTTCCATTTCCATGCCTTCATTATTATCAGGCGTGAGGAATTACTCTCTTTGTTGCAAACAAGGACGTTTATGTTAATGATATCATTTACATTTAAAAGGTATTTAAGGTCGTAGCTTTGAATGCGAATTTATATCGGATGTGTTAAAGGCTAACTTAAATTTTAACAATATTTTTTATAAGGGGATTCCGTCCTTTTTGGAAATAAGTGCGTCAGTAAGTTAAGTATTAGGAGTAGAATTATGGAGAAAATAAACAGAAGAATTCTTTCACGTAGCCGTCAAAATGATTCACAATTTATAAATGAGCGAGTAAACGATCTAACGAGAAGGTGAACTGAATGCGTACATGATTCATCGCTATGTTCGAAGGCTAGAAACTTTTACTCGTAAAACTAGTGAATTTTCTTAATTAACATATGTTAATTTTTCTGTGGATTCTTTTTTAGTACGTTGTAATGAGCGTCAATTATAGCGGTATGTGTACATGTAATGCAGAGTTACTCAATATTACGTTACGATCCAAAGAAACTATACAATCGTACATGTCGTCATTGATTTAAAGTTAGAAAAACAAGGGAAAACGAAGAATAAGACTATCTGCCACGAATATTCTTATACTCCACGTCATCATCGATGTACTTCGCCATTACCTCTTGCCAAAGCACTTCCTATAGACCCAAGCCAGTCGCATCAACGAAAGCTACCGTAAGCCAATTATCCTGCAAGCTCGTTTTTTGCCCATCAAAGCTACGCATGTAGATGTTGCACGGTACTCTCCTGCACAAAGGCTCCTTTTTTACGCGTGCAAACGGGGATAACACAGTCAAAGCTCTTCTGGCGACTACTGCTTTTGCTGCACGTGCAACGGGTAGCTTTTACGTTGCAGGTGTGCGTCTCTGCTACGCTGAGCCAAGGAAAATACGATACGCCGCATTATCGAATGTATTACGTTTGTCTGTCGAGCATTTCCTGTCTGCTCGTGATATTGCGCGGATTCGCGCTTCTCGATTGCTTGCGAAATGCGCGTACTGCCAAGTTCAACGACACTTGAAAATTGCGACTAATTGGTCGTCGATTGTCGTGAGATTATTTCTTGTAGGGTAATATCTCGTTTCGCTGATAAAAGAAGTTTCTTTTTTTCAGTCGGATTTTATATAGACTCGCGAAGAGAGTGAAAGTCTTTTGAAAGCTCGTAGTTTCTTTTACATTTTGAGGAAACACGACTAACTCAAATAAAAAATAACAATATTCGTGTTATTTATTAAATAGGCTAACAGCCGGAATTGCGTGGAGTCTTATCCTATCCTATCTTTAAAAAAATGACGAGTCCTATCCTATCCTAAAAAAAATCATTAGTCGTCGATATCCTGCATTGTGGTGTAGGTTGACGCGTAAAATGAGCGCGAAATTTTTAATGTTCTTATACTTTCAAACTTTTAGTATCATAGATCTAAAACTTGGAGATTTTTATTTCAGTCGCAAATTAAACTCGCGAATTATTGATATGGATGAAAATAAGAACATGCAGTTGATAAATCGTTTTAAAAAGAAAGGGGTTATATTATTAAATTATGATTGAATTATTTATACAAATCAATAATTTAATTCCCATTTTAGATATTGAAGTTGACTTGAGTGTCTTGAAATTTAGTTGGAAGAGAAAAGTGATCTGAATTACATGGAAGGAAAATATTTTCTGTTTCTGCGGTACTAAAATAAATATAGAGCGTGCTAAACGACGCTATCTATTTTAATATCTGAGACAATCAAGTTTCTCTTTAAATGAAAATTACTCCAGAAATATTATTGAAATGTCACCAATAAGAAGTTGAGATTGAGATATTTTATAAAAAAACCTGTTAAAAATGGCAATCAGTTTATTAAATGTATGTCATTTCTAGATTTGAAAATATAACTGAATTTGCGAATATCAATAATGTATTTGGATTTTTATTTGTCCATTAATATCAACAGATGTTAAGCGTTTCTAATCATAGAATTGCTTTATGTATGTAGAATATTTTACACTTCTTGATTTCGCCGATAATAGTTTTGTATTAGTCATCAAACTGAATATCAATACAAGCTAGAAATAAGCGTGCCAAGCGCGGTTAACGACATTATAGCAATCATAAAATATTCTCCGCCAATATAAGTTAAATTCTTTCTTTTTCATTAAGCTCCGAAATATGACATGTATAAAAAAACAGCCTTTAGATCATGTATAACAATCAGTTGTGTTACGATCGCAGAAATTGTCATTCTCAAATATTTGCTGTTTGCTTATGTCCACACTTAAATAATGTGCGCTCTGCTTTATTGGTTATCGTTTGCAATTACACAAAACAGGTAGTTGCAGAGCAACTATTGTTTAAATAAAAACATGTGATAAGCGAAAAGAAAAGAATGCTGGTTTTTTGAAACTTACAATTTTTTAACGATAACCAATCGAGTGATTGTTTTATTTGAGATACTCAACTATTTACTGCAATTACGAGTCAATAAGCGTGCTACGCACGCGGAACATCTATATGCATCAACCAATCATAGATCAATGTTTATCTCAAATCGACTAATCAGAATCAATAGAGATTTCAATTTTCTAAAATCTCTCTTATATCAAGGATGTAGAACGAATATAGAAAAAATATAAGTTCGAATTTTACATGTGTGAATTAATAATATCATCGCTATAATGCAAAATTCTTAGTTTTTATACGCAATATGATAAATTAATTGAAAAGAATGCATAAAAAGCAATTCATAAATAGCATACTATCATAATTAAGAGATTTATCAGAACTGTTTTAACGTAAATAAAATAAAGAATTTTTGTAAACGAACGAGGTAAAAGAATTAAATACTATAGAGGATTTAAATAACACTTGCACGCATTATTGATATTGCTTCAATTATATTCGAATGAAAGTGTTTGGTCGCTCTGAAAAATAAAGATCAATTAAAAGATTCAGCGGTACTAGCACAATTTAGAGGCAAACAAACGTTGTAATTGTTCGAAAAAGTTATGTATTCACTCGTTATATATAAATAATAACGCGTATAATGCAGAAAGAATAAATTCGTAATGGGCACTCGTTTGGATGAAACTGACTAACATTATATATGAAACCTTTATTTTTAACGACATCTAAATGTCATATTCTCTTCATATTTTATAAATAAGCAATATTTCCGCAACGGTATAACTTAATTAAATACCAAAGGGAATAAATTTTTCAGCAACTTTAATGAGGGTTGTGAACACGTATCAGGTAAAAGTTTAATGAATTCTAAAGTTTCCTATGTCTTGTCAAGCTTAAGCGTCTATATTCCTTGTGTAGATGTAGACTAAGTGAGCTTCCCTTTATCTTTTCACGTCAAATAATTTTTTTCTACTGCTTTTAATTAAAACCCAATCATACTATCGGTTATGTACAATTTTACTAAATTTTATCATACCAAACGTGTATTGTTTACATCATTTTATGAAATATATATATTTCTTTTTATCATTTGTCTCGTTGTTCTTTTCATTTCTCGTATCACTAACAGATACCGTCGTTTGGACTGTCTTGCAAAAAAAAAGCAGAGTACAGGTCGACGAGACATAGTTAATGAGGACGTAAGTTGGCAAATGTGTCATAACAAATTGGCAAAGGCCGTTGTAATAGAATAAGTTGTTTAAATTGTAATTTGTTAAATCTTGTCGCATTTTTTGATTTTATCACAGTTGATTCAGAACAATTATAATATATATAATCTAAGA